ACCAAGACCTGTCTTTTCACATGGTCAGCTATATGTAGCTGTTTCTAGAGTCACTTCAAAGAAGGGATTGAAAATTTTGATTTTAGACAAAGATGGGAAGCCTCAGAAAAAAACTATGAATGTAGTTTTCAAAGAAGTTTTTGACAATCTTTAAGGTATGTATTTTTAAATTTTTGATTAGATGAAAGTTTATGTTTTGATGTGTTTCTTTATTAAATATTAAAATTTTGATGCAGATTTCAGGCAGACTTATGTTCTCTACGGTGGAAAAATGGTTGCTGGTTGATTCAAAGTTTTCTATTCATTATGCAAACACCATTTGTTCTTTAGCTACAAATAAGAATTTCAACAATATTGGATTTGTTTTGATTTAATATAATGCTTTCTATTTATTACTATAATACCATAAATCTAATAAAAGTCAAGAACTATATAACACTACCACCGCAATATTTTCCAAGTATAAACAATAGAAAACTATACTCAATGAGTTCTCTAATCTAACTCATCCTTTTACACAGTCTACTTCTTTCACTTTAAGAATTAGTTACAATATCTTAGTGATTACTAACCTCTGTAATAATCCGGTTTTTATGTCATAGATGTTATCTTCAAGTGCTTCTTGATTATTTCTTCTTGATACTCTCGATGTCCTGTGGAGATCATGCAGCAAGTTTAAAAGTAGAACGAGTGAGAGAAGTGATGATTCAATTTAGGTAGTTTGATGTTATGAGACACTTATATCTAACTCAGATAAAGCACATTTAACATTGCATTCATGATCAGTGTGCCTCACCTATTCTATGTTGAGACTTACAACTGATGACCATGTCTCTCCTTCACCATGTCAAGGATGAACCGCTTCTGCATATTTCTTATATCCCCTGTCATTTGTCTCCCAGTCATGAGAATATAACAATATAAAAAACAATAGCCAGTTTATCAAAACTTGAACATTCAAGTGAATCTGACTTCTTTGATTACAGCTTTGCTATGATGTTGAAAATAAATCAAAAACTATAATAAGGAGTAATAAATGATCATACTGGACCAAGAAACCGTGGAGCTAAATCTCTTGATTTCTTTTTCATCAAAACTATGATCAATTAAGCTACGCTATTAATCTAAGCAAAATATATTCTTATTACCTTTGCATCGAATGAGTATATGACATCAACAAATTATTCCTCAAATACTTTTTTTCTGCAACTCGCAAACAAACTCAACCTTCGATTGATGATTTACCCATCGGTGACTTCCACGAGGTTTTCTCTTCAAAATTATAATGGGTATGGTCTCAGATTTTCAGTTTCAAGTGTCTTCGTCTTCGAAACCTCAGATCGTGTTTCGACTATAGAACAGACAATAAAGATTAGGACAAATAATTGAAAATAAAGAGATACCGAAATCATTAAACTCAAACCTTTATGCAAAGATCTGCACTCCTTGTGAAAGGTTTAAAAGATGAATAACAAGATCTTAACACTACGATAGACGGCACGGACAAAGAGTTGTAGGAGAAAAAAATTTTGATCTGAAGTTGAAAGTCAGATCGAGTTTCTTTTCTATTTCTGTTTTTTTTCCCGGAAAAAAATATGGGCCTTTATTTGGGTTTCATAAATTTTTTTGGGGTTAACAACATTTTAATTCATTCTTTCTCTTGGGACAGATTATAAAATCGAAACATGTTTTCCATATAATTGGTACACATATATTTTATTAATTATTATTACATAAATTTAAAATCAACTATAAGCTATATAAACAAGAATACAAAATTAGTAATAAAATAACCAAAATTTTTTTTGCATTTATTTATTAGGACTTTAAGTTTTCAAATAATGTTTACATATTTAACACTTTAGAAAAAAATAAGAAAATTTAAAACTTTATCAAGTTTTAACCAAAAAAAATAACACAATACAATATGAGAAGAATACAAACAAGAACAAAATATTAGATTTTAACCACAAGAAGTTCAACGAAGTTCTTGTTAAGTCACTGCAATACCAATGAAGTTCATGTTAAGTCATTGCAATACCAATGTCCATCTCATGAAAAGGTATCGATAAGATTTCTTATGTGTTCATATATATGGCTTGAACATATTTAATTTAGTCCACTTAATTACATCTTCAAAATCTCATTATTGTTTCAAATATGTTTCAGGGATCAACGGTCAAACAGTTTCTCCATCTTGATGATCAAAATAAATCCAAGTTTTTGGTGTGGATAGAAAACAACAAATCAAATGATGATGTTGAAGATTTTGAGAAATTAGATTGTTCTGCCAAAACTTATTTTGTTTGGAATCCAATATCTAAAAAGTGGGAACCGGAATTTTAGATTGAAGCATATTATCATTGTACTTTTTATTTGTTTTCTTATTCACTTTTTTTTATTTATATTTTTATCAATCGAAACTAATATCAATTTGTTATTCACATGAATCAAAATCAATATTATAAGTATTTTCGTGATAATTATATTTCTGATTATAAATAGTATATATTTTTTATCATGTCCAACATAAAAGTATATTTTAAAAACACAAAGAATCAACAAAACACATAATTATTCAAAAGGACAAATTTTGAAAAGAAGATAACACAGAGTAAAGTTAAATGTAACCACACAAGACATTTTGACAGTATCATGCAAACACATCATGCATGCTGCAAATACCAACCCATTCTGACCCTCTTGCATGCCTTTAGTACAATTGAAATGTGTTTTCATAAACTTGGGCTAAATCAGACAATAGTAGAGACTTACATTAAGGTGTTTTTATAAAATTATGATTGATATTTTATCTCTTCAAAAACATGTGTAACTTACACAACATTGATTCATGCATATATTAATAACACAAACATACCATTACATTCATAACATTGCATAAGAAATCAAGCACACGACATTACTATCACAAGTAACTTAGAAAAACATTTGAGCAGACCTTAAAGTAGAAGCAATCGTAGAAACCGTAAATACAACACATGAGTTTTTCAGCTAATATTAGTGTAATTTTTGACAAACTGGTATGCCCTTTTGAAGTAGTAACACTCCTTGCAAAATTCTTTCATGTCATAACGATTGCACTTTGACTGTGGGGCAAGGTTAACCATGTTTGTATAGTAGTCTTGCGGTATAGTAACATCGATTTTTTTGAGTGAGATCTTGAGACTTTCCCAGCATTTATCAGAGGTCGAAATTTTCTTTGACCATTTGAGTTTATCCAAATACTTCATGCCTTTAAAATAGTGACCTCGGACAAGCATTAACAAACCATAAACATACATACCGTTTTTATTGTTTCCAAGAGCTGCTAGACGTAGACGACGAAGACCTTTATGTTCTTCCTTGTAGACAAAGTATTGTAATAACCCTTCAATGTAGAAAGCTTCGGGGTTATGATTATGTAAGCAAATTTCATTTAACTTTGCATGTTCCTCCATCATCAGTACTGGCTCAGCAACAAAATATTCGAGATCCATGTTTCGGAAATAGTGGTTGCGATCTAAGTTTGAGTCACCACTATCCCCGTCGTAGTTGGAGGCCGCATTTGTATCGTTGGTGTAGGGGGCATCACTGTCGTCGGAGTTGTAGTTCTTCTCAGAGTTTTCAGAACCCATTTTGTTTTGTTTTATTTCTATACTCTCACTCTAATGCTTAGTGTTGTGAAGAAGATAGATGATTGCTTAAATAAGAAAGAGTAGAAGAGTATATGAAAACATAAAAGGATTGATACAAAGCAATTTCAGAGCTTTATTGGAAGTTTCATCGAATCTATGATGGCCTAACCCACTTACTTGAAAAAACAAAAAACATAGGAGGACTGAACATAGAAGAAGACAAAAAACGAACATGTTTCAATCTATCACTCTCTGTAATCTTTGAAAGAACACTGTTGTTCAATGTGTTGGTAATATTTTCGAGGAATATTTTGGAAGTAGACAAGATAACACTGTTGTTCAATGTGTTGTCACATAGTTTTTCTTTCAAGAAAAATGGTTTTGAATAAATGTTCTTTCAAGTTAGAGAAAAAAGCTGATGTAAAAGGTGATAACACACTTATCAAAAACAACTTGCATGCATCTCCCTAGATAAAGATAACATTGCCATGCGTTGGTTGTTTTCCTTGGTTTTTGTCAAGAGTTGTACAATTATAAATACAAATGTTTCTGGTCAGATTCACTTCATGTTTTGGTGAGAAAAATGTTCACCGTCTTCTCATATAAATCCAAAGCATCTCTAACATATTGGTCATTATATGAAGTTGTGATCCATAAAGCCCAATACTTCAGTGTTTGTTTGTGCAATTACAAAGGCTGGACTCTAATTATATCTATACATTATTATAAAATAAAATTCAAATTTTTTCTGATCACACCTATTAAAAGTTTGGTCCAAATATACAATTTCAATAGTATAGATACAACTTCAATAGTATAGATTAATAGAATTCTGAGTTTATTATCATAATCAATCAACACAATTGTAAAAACAGTATATAATCTTCATTACAAAATTATAGTTGTTTAACTAATTTATTATAAAAAATTATAAAAATTGATTATTCATATATAAATTTATAATAAAAAAACAGCTTCTAACAAAAATCATTAAGACACTTGATATACATTTTATGTTGACACTTGACTTAAAAATAAAAAAATAAATTTGATAGAGGAAACAAACCCGCCCTTTTAAAGTACAACGTTAAAATCTAGAATTATATTATTTTGTTCTACATATAAAGTGAATAACATGAAAACAATAGAATCTAAACTTTTCAAACAAGAACAAAATATTATTGCATCGAACATACACCCGTGCGGGCGTGCGGATCAAAATCTAGTTATAGCTTATTTCAGTTTGAAAAACTCTAGGACTAAATTAACCGAATCGAACTGAACCTAAACCTAAACCGAACCGATAAAATAAACTCCACCCCTAATTTTGGACACTCTAAAGTCTAAACGCGAGAGGGTCTTGGAGGCATTTGTTTTGGGCCCTAATCGGATCTATTGGAGTGGTGAAGCAAATAGGCAAGCAAGGGCAGACAGTTCCTCCTCTGCATCACCATTCACGGAGGTAGATCAACTCCATAAGCTTATACCTTTACTCCCGTAAGTGCTTCTTCACATCTCTCTCTGACCATACATTGCTCGTCGTCTTCATCCTGTTTGGGTTGAATTTTCATTTTTCAATCTTTCGATGTTCTCCTCTAGTATTTTTTTTTCTCCGTTCCTTCGTGGCCCGTTCGACTTTAGCTAAACCTTATGATATCAAGTCCTTTTTTGTTTTGAGTTAGTTGGGTTTTAAAGTTGTTGAGATTGTGTAGCGATTTCACTCACTAAGGACACGCATTGTAGGTGTTCGATAAAATGCCTATAAGAAATCAGCAGTTTTTACCACAATGGATATTTGTATCCACTGTTTGGATTGTATGGTTCATCAAAATGAATAGCTATTTAGTAACACCTTCTAATTTACATTTCTGTAGTCTTTTACATTTGTGCATTGCTTGATTCATGAATCTTTGATAGACCTTAACAATGTTCATATGTTGCTTTGTTCATATGGAGATTCATTGAATGATTTTAGGGCAGATAGATGGACCTGCACAAAAAAAAAAATGAAGAAAGAATGTTTGTTTTCGTTGTTTTGTAGAGCTGTTGGACAATGAAGAAGGGAATACATCCACAGATGCAATGGATCTCTTATGTGACACAGAGCGGTCGATTGATGCACGTCATGATGACAAGGATCCACCATGTTGGCAAAGTCTATCACTTTGGTGCTAAGCGTCAACTGGCTCAAAGCATTGGTCAGATTGCCAAGTTCAAGCGTAGGTTTAACGAGCAAGAGGAAGAACCTTCTTCTACCCATGAGAACAACATCGACAACCAGAAGAAGTAACTGTGTAATGGAAAACTCTTGTTATTCTCTCTTTACTCATAAACCAATCTGAAAAAGGCTCAAGACTTTTTCATTTTACACTATGAACCTTTGCTTTGCTTCTCATGATTGATTTTCACAGTTTTCGAGTCTTTTCATCAATAAAAATAATTATTTAATTTCTTTGACAAGATTGAATTATTCACTTCACTATTCTATGTAGGGCCTAATTCTATGTTTCAATTATATGATTTAAACCAAACAACAAGGTATCCTAACATTAAAACTCATCATGTAAATCAAACAGGGCTTAATAAGGTTACATAACATCAATAAACACTTTTTGGGCAGAATCAAACTATAATCAAAAGAGTGACAAAGTAATTCAGACAGGGTTTCATGACATAACTAGTGATACATGTTTCTAGTAACAGGGGAAATTGGGGTCCACATCGGCTGTCCAAGCCTCCAGTCCTCCAATTATATCCTTAGCTGAACTGAAACCAGAATCACGAAGATACTGAACAGCTCTCTGTGAGTCATTCCCGCGCCTGCAAACAACATAGAGGCTGGGATTTGCGCAAGACCCGGAGTTAACATGGCCATCTTCCTTTTCTTTCAGAGCTGAAGTAAGCTCGTTTAACCGAGCCTCTAAGTTTGCAAGAGGGATGTTGACTGAATCCGGGAGAGAGACAATCTTATAGTGATGAGAAGGTCGAACATCGAGAAGAACATGTCTTTCCTTCTTCTGAAGGACTTCGTTGAACTCTTTGCTGCTGATTCTTGATTCTGCAGGAAGCAGGTTCAACGGGCCCTGTGATCAAACCCGTGCACGTTAAAGATATATGAAAACGTTTTTGAAAATGGGTGCGAGAAAATAAAGAAAAAGAGACCAATACCGCAGATAAAGGAAACTGAGTGAACTCCTCATAGTCAAAATCTTTGAACTGCTGCTTAGTGAAAGATGAATTGTCTCCACAAACTGTGCACTGGGCTGACCTGCCTCTAATCTTGACCTGAGCAAACTCTACACTTGATTAGTTTTTACCGTAGATTGAGTTTAATGAAGAAGTAGAGAATGGTAAGACTTTACAATGCGGATCCTTGCTGATAAAGCGTCAAAAAGAAGCATCCGTTCAGAGAGTGGTTCTCCCACCATGCTAGCAAGTTTAATTGTCTCTAACGCTTGTAGACAACCAATAGCACCTGGAACTGAAAAAACAAAAAAAAAAACTTTCAAGAATGAAGAAACTGTAGAGACTTGTTTTGCATTAAGGAAAAAAAAGAAAAAACCACCATTAACGTACCTACTCCAAGAACTCCACTATCAGAACATCTTTGGCACGCTGTAGTAGGTGGAGGAGTTGGAAATAGACAACGGTAACACGGGCCTCCTTTATGATTATAGACCGTAAGCTTGTAGAAGAAATAAAAAAATGGCGCTTAAAATCTATACAATGAGTAACACAGCTCAACAACTTAGTTTGTCATATTTAACAATACCTGCCCATCCATTCCAAGCGCAGCACCCGACACCAAAGGCTGTATACAAGTCACACGTCAATGCTTCTGACTATGACTGTGAAGAAACATGGAAATCATAAAAGAAAAATCATAAGACAGCTTCACCTTTCCTAAGAGAACACAACAATCGCTGATCATGTAACGGCTTGGAGGATTGTCGGTTGCATCTACTATGATATCATATCTAATTTATGCAGTTACAGCAACAAATAACCATATTTAATACTCAACTGATTTCTATAGTATGTCTACATATCTAAGGATACTGGCTAAGGATTTCCAAAGCATTGGATGTGCGAAGAGCTTCCACATATTCATCAATCTTGATCGTCGAGTTTATTCTGGATGTAAGAAGAGAGTAGAAAAGCATAGTGAGTAGACAAAGAGAGTAGAGTGTGAGCATAGTCACAAAATTATATTAATCTCAGGGAGTTTGAATTTACGAGCGACAAGCAGTGGCAGCAGATTTCACTTTGGGATGACCAATAAATGCTTCAGTGTGTATAACCTGGAGGATAAACAAATCAAAAAGAGATAGCAATTAGCAGAGGGTAGTGTCTTTTGATCACCTACTGAACCAGAGAAAGTGCCAGGAAGAAGAGAGAGCTGCCAGAGGAGATTTTCTCAAGTCTCGTACCTGCCTATGCATATTGTTGAGTTCTACAACATCATGATCGATGATACCCAATCGACCTAGAAGAATAAAACAGAAAAGAAGATCAGCAAATCATAATCCAGGGAGAAGGAAAAAGGTATAAGGAGGCTAATTCTATTGATATATGTAAGTTAGATAGATTTGAGGTAAGAGTCTTAACACCATACCAACACCACAAGCTGCAAGATACAATAATGCAGGTGAACCAAGCCCTCCAGCTCCGATGACTAGTACCGAAGACTTCAACAGATTTGACTGCCCTAAAATCATAAACACAACACAGAACTGGTCAACAAAGATTGGTTTGAGAAATACATTAGCAGAGTAAACCACGTATTGACCAACTGCAGTACACAACATATCACTCCGGTTTAACACTATACTACAGAGGAGAGATCAACCTTTCTCCCTTACAACCCCCAAAAGGCTATCAAAAGAAGCAACAAATACTATTTAGAAATCACTATCTGACTCCAGAAAGAAAGTTCAAAAAACAGAAGTTTAACGTAATAAGAGTTGCGTCTGAGTGTTTAAGATCAAAGTAGTACCTTCAACACCAAAGGCAGGTAATAACAATTGGCGACTGTAACGGTAAATCTGATCAGGAGACATCCCATGTGCAAGCCCATGTTCAATCTCCGTTGGAACAGAACAACCGTTAGACACCGCGTCGCACCTTTCAACCGCCGTCGTCTCTTGGAGCTTTGCTTCGAGAGCAGAGATACGTTGCTCGATTTCCGCTTTCTGTAGCTTTAGCTCTTTCAATTCACGAACGATTCCCGATGAATCCATACCGTTTGCCTCCATCCTGACAATGGTAGTACACAGAGGAACCCTAGAGCAGCAGTAGAGAGGACGGCGACAGTCAACGGGACAATACGTTGACTGTTTTATTAATGCTTTGCTTTGAATCTGTGCACACGTGTCACAGACCGGTGTGTTTTTGTTTTTATACGGACAAATTACATCTTTTTTTAAGAAATGTTAAATTCATTCGAAAAGAAAAATACTGTTTCTATAACTTTGCATAAACTTTAGGGTGAATTGGGTGAATACCCAAAAAGAGAGAGATATTTAAGAATTGGGGGGGGGGGGGAAAGTGGTATGTGAAGGAAGAGAGAGATAGAGATAAATAGGGTAGAATCTTAATTTAACGGTTTTGAGTGTATAGAGGATGCAAATACTCTAAACTTTATACCAAAGTAATCACTACTAGGTGTTGTGTCCGCATATGCGGGCATGATTTTCTTACAAATATTTATTATTTTTTGTTTTATTAATTCTAAAATAATATTATAAGTTATTTTATATAGTTCTAAGAACCTAAATCAAACATTGAAATATTTTTATATGATTTTTCATCAAAATCTATATGCTTATTATAGTGTTGAAAACCATCCACATAATCGTTTTTAACTAATTTATATACAAATATATAAATTTCATTAAAGGTACATTAACTTGAACTGTTTCAATTTTTAATACCTAATATTTAATTATATAATTAAAAGTACCTTTATACAAATGTTTTTGTTTGATTAATATTTATAATAAAATAATATTACTTGTCAAAATCCAAAATCAATTATATATAAAATTAAGATATATAAGCATTATCATGTTGTTACAATATTATATTCAGATAATAATAACATATATAATTATCTTATTTTTGATTTCTTATAAATTTATTATATTAATTATTCTTTATTATCTAAGATAATAACATACTTATCTAATTTTATTTTTTAAAATTTCGTTTTTTAATCATAAAATTAGTTATATATAAAAATATCATTAAGGATAAAATAGATATTAACCGCTCTAACTTTTAACGTGAGAGCTCCGTTGCGAAAAATCACTTCGCAAATAATAGTATAGATTTCAAAATCTGTTCCTTCTCTATCTTATGGTTAGCCACTTTTGATACTTTTTAGCCCCCATCTCTCTAATTGTGGATTACATGTTTTTAATTTTTTTATCTATACATTTCACCAGCATCAGAACACCTTTTGGGTTTCATCATGCCTTCTATCAATTTCTTTCCCTCTATAGACTGTAAATCGTGACATGAAACGCATAGTGAATAAGAAAAATGTTTATCTTTGCTCGACCTTTATCAACCAAAAGAGTTCGCAAATTTCTCTAGTCCTCTTCATATATGTTTCCTAGAGACTTCCAATAACGACCTTCCAGACATCTTCGAGAAGGCACAATGAAAGAATAAATGATCTATTGTCTCGGTATCTGCTTTACAAAGAACACATATCGGATTCACAGTAGCATCCCATTTAACTGTCCTATCTCCAGTGGACAACCTATTAAGAATTGCCATCCAAGTGAAGAATGAGTATTTAGGTGTCGAGTACTTGAACCAGACAGCATCCTTCCAGGCCACTTTCAGATTTTTAAATCTTAACTGATTCCAAGTCACCTTTGAATTAAACACCTCCTTATAGCATTCATAATTCTGCTTCCAAAGCGCTCTATCATCTTCCCCATTAATTAGTCTACCTTCTTGCAATAACAATATGTTCTCAGTTTTTATCAAAAGATCAGCTCGATGTCTTCTCCTTCTTTTATTACATACTGCTTTTTTAACTGTAGCTTTGAATGGTATCCATGTGTCTATTAGACCTTTTTGACCCGTCGAATTATAAAGTTTTCCCAGTGTACTCCTGTTATTAAACCAAAATGAAGTCTGATTTCCACTTCTCACTTCCTTCTTGAATTTTTTTTTTTTTTTACTTTTCTATACTTCAGAGTTTTTTTCCACATCCAAGATCCTTTACTAGTCTCTTCCCTAATCGACCAGAAATTCTCCTCACCAATTAAATAACTCTAGATCCATTGAAACCATAACAATGGAACTGAATCAAGAATCCTCCAGATTAATCTCAAACAGCAAACGATGTTTACAACTCGAAAGGATCTTACCCCCAGCCCTCCTTCAGATTTCAGGGTACAAATGATTTCCCAAGATATTGTAGCCTTTTTTGGATTCAGACTTGGACCCGACCATAAAAAAGCAGCACACATTTTCTCCACTTCATTTAAACATGCTTGTGGAAGCCTAATTAAAAGCTTGGATCCAGAAATCAGTGATGCTCACAATAACAGATTGAATAAGCGTTAGTCTCCCTGCCAAAGACAAATGCCTTGCTGCCCATGAACTTATTCTGCTTCTTATGCGATCCAATATAGGTTTATAGTCTGCAACCATCATTCTTTTAGTGAGCAGAGGGAGCCCTAAGTATCTCACAGGTAGTTGACCCAGCTGTATAGAGTACCTTGACTCCTTTCTCTTCTTCAATCATCAGTTACTCCAGTCAAATATAGAATGGATTTCTCCATACTTACCTTCAGCCCTGATACTTTTGCAAATTGATCAAATACCTCTATGATACTCTCCATTAACCTGATCTTACCATCTGTAAACACTAGTATGTCGTCCGCAAAACTCAAGTGAGTGAGGCTCAGGTTTTGACACTTAGGATGGTATCCTATCCGTGTTTCCAACGCAGCTTTATCCAGTAACTTTGATAGGAAATTCATACTAATAACGAACAGATACGGAGACAATGCATATCCCTGTCTCAGTCCTCGATTACTTCTGAAATATCCAGCTAACTCACCATTCACTTGCATAGAAAATGATGCAGTTGTCACAAACAGAGATATCCAGTGAATAAACTCCCTCAGGAAATTCATTGCACGAAGAGTATTCAGCAGAAAAGACCACTGCATTGTATCAAAAGCCTTTAAGATGTCGAATTTAATTGCACACCTCTCAGAAATGGATTCCTTATGATACTCCTTGACAAGCTCTGTAGCCAGAATAAGGTTTTCAATTAGAAGTCTACCTTTCACGAAGGTCGATTGGTTAAGAGCGATGAATTCTGGCAAAGTAGTCTTCAACCTATTTGCAAGTATCTTCGAAATCACTTTGTACAATACATTACAGCATGAAATTGGTCTATAATCTTTCATTCCCCTAGCTCCCATCTTTTTGGAATCAATGCCAAAATTATAGTATTAACTCTTTTTGGTAAAAATCCTTTCGCAAAGAAAGATTTCACTGCTATAATGTATTCCGTACCCACAAACTGCCACACCTCTTTAAAAAAAAATCAGCTGTGTATCCATCTGGCCCAGGTGATTTGTCTTTTGGCGTTGGAAAATAGTACCTTTTGAATCTCCTCTACAGTAACCTCTTTCATCAGTTGAGTACATCTTCCTTCTGGACATCCGTAAGGCAGAATCTTCTCTAAATCCTCCACTGAAATCCCATTAAAGTCATGTGGTTCGTATTGCAGAAATTCTCTGAAGAATTTCTCTGCTTCCACCTTTACTGACTCTGCCGTATCAACAACACTTCCATCGCTACATAAGATCTCTTGTATCGCATTCTTTGTAGCTCTAACTATTGCAGCTATGTGGTAAACTTTATTATTTTTATCACCAACCTTCAGTCAATGTAGTTTAGACTTCTGCTTCAGAAATTTCTCTTCGATTCTTGAAAGGTTTTCCCACTTAGAGGATGTTTCACCTTCCTCAACTGTGTTCTGCTCAGTGGGATTATTCATACTCTCCTCCTGTCTCTTACACAACTCTTCAAAAGCTTCTTTTGTCATTTTAGAGAGATTTCCCAACCTTTCTTTGGTTAAATTCCGAAGAACATGCTTTAAAGATTTCATCTTCTTCGAGAGTCTAAACATTGCTAATGTAGATAAGAATATAGGCTCAGTATTGCTCCAAAATTGTTTAATTGTCGGCCTAAAACCCTCCACTTCAGTAAGAACATTCACAAATTTAAATGGCCTTTTCACCTGATCTTGAATTGGCTTCAAATGTGATCTACACCTTAGATGATCAAAACATCCTCCGGTTTCAAAAACACTATAAAAGTTTGAGAACCTCCTTGTCCAATGATCATTAATCAACACCTTATCCAACTTCTTTGAAATAAACCCATGCTCCCTCTTATTTGTCCAAGTAAAAAGCGACCCATGAGAAGCAGAATAAATTAATCCACAATATTAAATTGTACTTTGAAATTTAACCATCCCTTGAGAGACTACTTCATTGGCAGAATGCTCCTCTATTGCTATTGTTTCATTANAATAAACCCATGCTCCCTCTTATTTGTCCAAGTAAAAAGCGACCCATGAGAAGCAGAATAAATTAATCCACAATATTAAATTGTACTTTGAAATTTAACCATCCCTTGAGAGACTACTTCATTGGCAGAATGCTCCTCTATTGCTATTGTTTCATTAAAATCACCCACCACCTTCCATGGATGAGCTTGAAACATAGGAGACTTTTGATGACTTCTCAAATCTCTCCATAATTCTTTCCTCTCTTTCTCTTTGTTAGCCGCGTAGACCACATAATTGAAAACTCCTCATCCTCATTTTCTAACTTCACTGAAACTATAATAATCTGCCCACTCTTGAAAACGGTGTTATCGGTACTCCTGGCTTCCATACCAACCAAATTCGACTCAAAGGACTATATTCATAGTTATCAATCACTGACCATTCCGGAAACACCTACGACATTATTTTACAACTCTTCCTTTCCTTCACGTTTGTTTCTAGCACCCCTCCAAAATGTATATTCCTTTCCTCAATAAACTTCTTCAAAACTAAATGATTATTTCCATTATTAAAACCTCTCAATTTTCAAAAGAAACTAGCCATACGTATTTCTTCTTGTAGGCTTTCTTCTTCCCCATTGCTCTTGGTGGAGCCTTTTTAGGAACATTAATAACAGAAGAAGGAGACTTTGTCTGTTTCATTGATCGAATCAAATAGACTTCTTCTCAGACTGAGTATTTCCTTTTGTTCTTTAATATTTCCTTTTATTAACTACGTCTCGTTCCTCTTTATCTGAATCCTCTTTTGTGTTACCATTCTCTTTCTCATTATTCGCCAAACTTTCCTCACCCAAAATTTCCACATTTTCTCATACATCCTTTCTTTCTGCCAGTATTGCAAATCTCGATAAGGTACTAACTACAACACTTTCATCTGATTGTTTCAAGCTCTGTCTTCCCACCTTAGCAGGTGATACTTGTATGAACCTATCACTTACTTGTCTTTTAGTTGAATCTTTCTTAATTTTCTCTTCATGCATCTTAAGATTATTCTTCACAACCTCCTTTCCCTCCATCTTTCTTCCCTCTTGTGTTTTTGTTACTAAACTTGCCTCCCTTCTTCCTTCTTTCTCATATTATTTTTCCTTAGGTGTTTCCTTTAGAATTTCCATCACTTAAGAATTTATTTCCTTTCCTTTCCCTTTATTTGCTGTTGTCTTCATTAGCGATTTCACTGTTTCTGATGCTCTACATTCCTTCGGTACATGTCCCCATTTTGAGCAAATACATCATCTTGTTGGTAGTCATGGATAAACAAATTCTACGTCAGCATCAATACCCAACTTTGATGTGAAGAAACCCTTATTTACATCAGCCTCCACGAATATCTTTGCCTCCTCAATACTTTTACACAAGAGTGTGTTAGGATGTAAACGCTTTGGCTTCCCCACTGCACTCGCTATAAACCCCAACCCTTTCTAAGAGAACATCCTATGCTGTACTATAAATTCATAATAGTTTCATGTGGGATCGATGTGGCCTATATATTGTCAGTTCACACTTCACAGGGTCATTATTAACTAAGGGCATCCACATCAATGAACCTCCTCTTGGGGTTCATTGAATCATTTTTTATTATTAAAAATTTTATGTTTTCTTTTTGATTTTTTTTTTTTTAAAAAAAAAAAAAAAAATCTAGACCAATCCCGAGCCGCCACGTGTTGAACCTCAGGAGAGAGGGGTTCACCGCAGTGAACTTTAGGAGAGAGGGGTTCATGGGTTTTTCTTATTTTATTATTTTTTTTTCTTGATTTCCGTGTGAACTCCCCCCATGAACCTTCAATGGGGGTGCTCTAACAAACATGAAACATTTAAGATTTAATCAGATCATGTGTGGGTCGATCCGTAAGCCCATTAAAATTTAAACGACTACAGCCCATCAAACTAACACGTAAGACACACACGTGGCATCATAGTCATAATCCCGTTGGTGAGACACCCATCATCATACATAAAGGAGAGAACCGAACTCATAAGATAAGTAGTGATCGGATAAACTCCATCTATGGTTTGATCTGATCTAACTTGCACTTTAAATGCGAGAGAGATCTCCAAAGAAAAAAAAATCAAAATGCTGAGAGCTTATGTGAATCCGAAACTAATCTCCAAGACTAAGATAACATCATCATGTCTTTACCTGAAGGTATATATATATATATTCTCAATGATCCTATAACTAAGTACACATATATTATATTGTGTGGGATTTTCAAAGTTTCTTTATATGTAGAGAGGAAGTGCGAGTGGAGGGAGGGAAGAAGGAAGAGCTCCTTCGACAGCGGAGGAGTTCACGAGACAAGGTGTTGCTAGCAAGACTGTGGAGAAGGCGTACGACGGAGTAGAGGAGGTGGTCAACGTATCCAGTGATTCTGTGGCGGGGATGGAGAAAGTGAGAAAGGAGTTTCAAGAGAAGGAAGAGAGTAGAGAGTACTATCCTAAGAAGGGAGATGATGATGGTTTGCCTATCAACACGTCTAAAGGAACATGATGAAGGGCATGCACTTGTTAGTATCTTTGTAGATATGGTGGTGAGATGATAATTTATGTTCGTATGTAATAATAATATAGTAATGTGCTTTTGTATATATCTCTCAAGTAGTTGTGTATAGACGAAATGTTGCTTGTTTCCTTGTCAATTATTATCGGCTTGTTTGTTAATTTCATTAAATATTTCTTCTAGTTTTTTGTTGTGCTAGCTTCTATAAAATACTTTTGTGGTAAGTTTTAATATCTTCACACATTATTTTATATCTTGTAAAGTTAAAAATTGCTTACCAATAAAACAACCAGTAAAAATCAACTATGGTATATACTATTATTTCAATATTAATAAATGTAAAGATCCATATGTTTTTGGGAATTTAATAAATATAAAATAAAACCTTAACTATAAACACGGATTAAACCATCGATTACATCATTATATATATATATATATATTATCTATGATGATCATAGTAGCAGTATATATAAACATGATGAAGAGTTTAACGAACAGCAATTTCCTTAATGTAATCTTCTATATTAAAAGAGAAGTACCATTTATATCTACTACACAAAAGTCATTTTGGACTCATTAATATGAAATATTTGATTATTTATATTAATCAATCAAATAAATCAAATTTGACTATAAATTTTTATTTTAATTTCATTTATAATAAAATCTGTTGAGAAAATATCTAACAGAATCTTACTAAGAAGTTTAAATATTTTTTAAAAATATATATTATTTAATTTCGTGATTAATATATACATATATATATATATATATTTTAATGTTAATTAAAGATAAAAATTGGTATATTTTATAATTTAATGATATTCTATCTTATACTAAAATAAAAATGTTATGTGAAATGAATATAAAAATATATTAAATTGGTAAATAAAAATATTTTATTTTAAAAGTTTCTTTTATTCACTGTTAAAACATATTAATTTTTTTTGAATCATGTAATATTTTTATACAAAAATGTTAACATATATTTTTGTAACTCACAACAAATATATTATCTAAAAAAATATATATGATTTTTTAAAAAAAATATTTACAACAATATATTATATAAAATAATTAAAATAATAAGATTATATAGTTATACAATATATAACAATAAAATGTAAATCATATATTTAAAAGATTTTGTTATATTTTTATAAAATGAAAAAATTACCCGCACGGATGTGCGGGTTCAAAATCTAGTATATATTATTTGTGTGTGTCACTAGATTTTTAATAGTAGCACATCTTATATATTAAAACAGAAGTCATGACTTAACTTCATGTGTGATTTTTTAAATTTTGAACCCTTTCTAGAAATCAGTTATATATCATTCATTTGTTATTAATAATATGGCTTAATATCATTCCCTATATTTCTTAATACACGCCAAAATTTCCGGTCGGTTTACAAACCAATATTTGATTCCTTAACTATTCTAACTTAATGATCAAACCAATATATCATCGTATATAAAGGTGAGTTGTTTGTGACTTCTGTTAATACATTTTAGACTCTGTTAATACACTGGACACGACATGAAATGAAACAGAAAAACTTCTGTGCATGATTAACATTGAACCTCTCTGTTTTTTTCACTTACACGTTTTTTTTATATATATATATCCACTTCTTACACATACCCTTGAATCATTTCACCTGTAAAGAAATGTTAAACTAGCCAGTTTTATTTTACAATTTCTTGGTACAACATTATATATATAGAATACCACATATTCATCAAACTGTTCTGGATTCAAATCCATAAATCAGTTGCAACAAGAATATCAAAACAATTGTACATAATATTCACTTAATTTAAATATAAATCTCATAATCATAATATTTTTATATTTTTTCATTTTAAATATAAATATTTTTTAAAAAACATCTAACAAATCTATTTAAAAGATTTAACAAGATTTTAATTTTCAACAATTTGGAGTAAATATTTTAATAATTCGTAATTAGCTTTAATATATTATTATACATTAATATATTTTATAAAATGTAGAACAAAGTTTAACTAAATATGATAAATTATATTAAATTATTAAATTATATATTTTATTTTTAGAAGTACTCATGTTCAAAAAGTAATATGTTCGTAATAGGGATTAACATTCGCAAACCATATAATAAATGTATAAAATTAACATGTATTTCATTAAAGCTAATAATATAAAATATTTGTAACTATTTTCATCGTGATATCTTTTCATTTTAATATATAAGATATATATATATATATATCGTTTAACTAAATATGATAAATTATATTAAATTATTAAATTATATATTTAATTTTTAGAAGTACTCATGTTCAAAATGTAATATGTTGGTAATACGGGTTAACATTCACAAACCATATAATAAAATGTATAAAAATTAACATGTATTTCATTAAAGCTAATAATATAAATATTTGTAACTATTTTAATCGTGATATCTTTTTATTTTAATATATAAAATATATATATATATATATATATATATATGTTTTTAGAAGTACTCATATTCAAAATGTAATATGTTGGTAATAGAGGTTAACATTCGCAAACCATATAACAAATGTATAAAAATTAACATGTATTTCATTAAAGCTAATAATATAAAATATTTGTAACTATTTTAATCGTGATATCTTTTTATTTTAATATATAATATATATATATATATAATTCTAACAAATATGTTGAAAAATATTTTAACAATATCTTAATTTTGGGAAGTTTATATAATTTTTTACCTGATTTTGTAATTAGCAATGAACTATTATTATGCATTAATATATATTCAGTTATCATTTATAAAACAAAACATGAAAACTTTATCTTATTTTCATCTATTTTATAATAATAAATTCATGTTCAAATAAAATTAGTATATTGAATTAGATATGATAAATTATATTAAACTGATAAATTTATAATTTTATTTTCATAAATAATAATATTTATGCAAAAAATATACAGTGACATAACGACTTAACATTCACAAACTATATGATCTATGTACAAAAATTAACATATCTTAGACTTTTGTATATATAAAGAATATGTTATTTTTTTAAATGAATAAATGTGAAAAAATATTGGCAGGTCGGAATTGAATATAAATTTTCAACAAATCTGTTGAAAAATATTTTTAAAATATCTTAATTTTCAGGAAGTTTATATAAATATTTTAACCATTTTTGTAATTAGCAATGAACTATTATTATGCATTAATATATATTCAGTTATTATTTGTAAAATGAAACATGAAAACTATATCTTATTTTCATCTATTTTATAATAATAAATTCATGTTAAAATAAAATTATTATATTGAATTAGATATGATAAATTATATTAAATTGATAAATTATAATTTTATTATCATAAATATAAAATATTTATGCAAAAAAATATATAGTGACATAACGACTTAACATTCGCAAAGTATATGATATATGTATAAAAATGACATATCTTAGACTTTTGTATATATAAAGAATATGTTCTTTTACATGAATAAACGTGAAAAAATATTGGCGGGTCAGATTGAATATAAATTTGATAGAAAATAATTTTCAAATATGTTGTTTCATGTGTATATTAATTTTTAATAACAAAATCAAAATACATTAACATAAATATATAATAAAAAACGACAAATACATGTGATGGTTTTAAGCTATTGATTATTTACACCATGTAAACTATAAAATTATTATATTTGAAATAGATATATCAATATTTAAATCTATAGTTAACGTTAAAATTGTATACCACTTATGAACTAAAATAAATATATATTTATATTTACAAAACTGAAAAAAACACCCGCGCGGTTGCGCGGGTCAAGATCTAGTTTTATTTATAGCATTTAGATATAGGGACGGTCATGTATGATATTTTCGATGGATACTTTCTCCGTAGCGAAGACCACGTATACCTATAATACTAGGGAAGGCCCGCGCTACGCGCGGGATTTGATAGATCGTTTTTTTTAAATATAATTTTGTGTAACTTTTCCTTTACGTTAAATAGTGAGTATGATTATGTTTTCTACACCCAATTTCAATTATATAACTAAATATGATCAAATTTTTAGTATTTTTGTTGTTTTAATCCTGAATTATAAGTTTTTATAGTGTTTTAAGTTTTATAACACTATAAACTACATAAATCAATCGAATCGATCTAAAGGGAATGAGATCGAAGTTTTCTAATATCTTTATTTTTTTTGTGAGGATTTATAAAATAGTGGAGAAAGAGGTTTTTATCTTGAAGAATTCTTTGTCAAAGTTATTAAAGTTTTTGTGTATAATGTAAGTAATTGATATTATTAACAATTGTTGCTTTTTAGCCTTTATTTTTTTTTCATTTGTGTGATATTTTTTGGTTATACTTGCTTATATATTAGGAAAATTTTGGAAAAATACACTCAAATAAGATTATAATTTGAAAACTACACCATTGTTTAAGTTTTTGGAAAAGTACACATATATATAAATTTACCAAATTTTCCAATTTTAATATTTCTATTCCTAATATAGTTTTTAAAAAACTGCTTTTAAAAAATCATTAGAGAATCTACATAATTTTTTTAATATATCTACACAATATATTTCCCATATCTTTTTAATATAAAGGCTAAAAAAGCAACAATTGTAGTTTATAGAAACACTCTCTTATATCCTCTCTATTTACGATTTTTTCTCTTTTTTCTAGTGTCACAGATTTTTTCTCTCATTTCATTAAGAGGTTTGTTGTTGATTTATGAATCAGATTTCATTTTATAATTATGCTTCTATTTTATTCTGACAGTAGTTTTTGTTCTTTTTTATTTTAGAAAAATCATGTTGCATTTGGCTAGAATTTTAAGAAAATGGAAGATGGATAAGAAATCATGGAAATCATAATTTATTTATTTTATATTATCTTTGTTATTGTAAAATTTCAAATGGTAAAATAATATATTTATCTTAAAATACATA